CATATATAAATTCCTTTCTTTGAATAACCAGTTTGTTGTTGTGTAAAACAATTCTTTTATGAAATGATTAGGTTGCCGACATATTGACTCCGACCGTGAGCAAGAAATGATAATGACCGCATCATCATCGGAAAATAGGCTATCATATCAGTAGTGATTAGCATAAAGTACAAACTGAGGCAACAAAGGGTAGATATGAAAGAAGGCACCAGGATTTACATGGTTCGTTTCACGTTACCTACATTCCCGGAGAAAAGAATACAACAACAAAGACTTTACTATAGCCAAATGAAGAACTACATGCTATGATATCTCAAGTGGCGATGCCCTATCCGCAACTACACTTGACAATCACACAATGTTTATCTCACATTCTCTTGCGGAAATCTCATCAAGAAAATTTTTAGAAAGACTCCTAAAAACACTCTTTTCATTTGGATAGTTGTTGAGAGTAATGTGAAGAGCCTCTAAAAGGTAGAAAAAATTTGAAACGAGTTTTCGTGCCACGGGTTCACTGTCGCATGCCAGTGGCTACTGGCAACTTACCAGACACTCTGGTGTTTGAGCACTCGGCTTCAAGCTGAGTCCATGCAGAGGAAGTTAGACGACGTCCAAAAATGATTTTTGGGATACCCAAACCCTTGCAAAAGCCTACTTTTTCAACTTTTCCTTTTACTGGAGCTTTGATTTGAATAGGATTTTCCTTAAGGGGGAATATACACTTAACAAGGAAAATATTCCATTTTCAAAGTAATGACATATGAGGACAACAATCAAAGTGATAGGAAAACCGTCAATGCACTGGAAATTTTATGTAGTTGATTAGCACTTTAGGCGCATTCAACTCACTACAAAAGTACATCAATTGCGGAGAAATTGTGAAAAGTTTTTACATGTGAGTTGAAAAAAGTATAGGCTGTGTTTGTCTTTCTTTTTTAAAGGAGTCAAATTCAAAATGTCTTGTGATTTGTCAGCCAAACTTTTTGCGAGGTAATCTCTGTGTTAATTTATAGCTCTTGCTTTAGCTTGTACCCTTCAACTACGTTATCCCCCTCCAAGTCTCTGCATCCACATTGCCCTGAAAACGAAAACCACTCGGATTGTGCCGAAGCAAGCAAAAGTCAATATCGTGCTCGAAAAATATCATTATGTTTCTCCACTTGCATTGTGGAGTCGTGTATCTATCATGCGCACCAGCTCACCCTCTCTCTTTCTCTCTCTCTGAACATTTGAATTTGCTTTAACAATTTATTTGAAAGCCAAAGGAAAATGGGTCTGGGGAAATATTAGTTATTTGGAATCGTGGGGCCTTTCGCATGCATTAGGTTCAAACTGACGCGATGTTGAACAGGGAAGATCTTATACAAAAATAATATGTAAAGCAATGAAGTCTGTGGTGAAAGTATTTAATGTATATTGGCATAGCTTTCAATGAAGTTGTTCGATGTCAATTTGATTTGACATATATATGAATCGCTTTAATTAGGATATAAGATATGTACTATTTATTTACTTCTCTAATGACTCGAGCTTCTATTGAAACCGGCTATATACTTCAAGTTTTAGATATTTTATTTGAAGAAATGACCAAAAAAAAAATTATTATGTAACTAAAGGTTTTTTACCCTAAAAGTTTAGATCATTATAGAAAGATATGATTTGTGTTTAGAGTTTAGTGATTACGTAGGGAAAAAGAAAATGTCATTTCCTGCTCCATTTGTTTCGAAAAAATTAAATAATTTAGAAAATATTTTTCAAAAAATAAATTTGTATCGTTTGAAATAATTAGTCAATAAAAAATATTTTATTATCAATAATAAAAAAATTTCTAACATTTTCGTGGATAATTAAAAAAAGTTTCGTTTGTTCATTTTTTTTAGTAATCTAAGCTATCATTTTTGGGAAAAAAATTTTCAGATTATTCATTTTTTGCGAAACAAATTAAGCTTTCGAGTCACTTGAGGCTGTACTAATTGGACCACAATCTTCCATACCCGTTTCACAAGTTAGTTCATATGTAACCAAATCAACCGATGATGTCTTGATTTTCTGTGCATAATCCAAGACTAAGATTTTGTTGAGGGAAAAAAGAATGGAGATTTACCAATCAAACCCAATCACCGACAATTCAATCATTCATGCCTTTTCTTTTCTTCTTTTTTATCTGTCCTACTTTAACTCTCAACTCACTTTCAAACTTTTGTCCTGCCTCTTGCAGGGCGTAGGAGTCGAAACGCACATTGAAACTAAACGTCCCCACCCCTAGCCCCCCTAAGAACGTGGGGATTCGAACTCCCAACTTCCCCCTTCCCAAGTAGGAAGGGTGGCCACTAGGGCAAACCCCAGTGATTAATCATTCATGCCTTTTCATCTTGAGGTTTCTTACAACATTTATTCAAGGATTGCACATTTAAAATTCCTAAAAATGGTCTTAGGAATTTTAAATATATTTCTAAGGAGGAAAACACAATTTTTTTTCCCAAAAACGGTCCACCAACAATTTGGTTTCATTTAAATTTCAAAATTTGAAATTCATCCAATATCTGAGTCGTCCCACTTATATTTGGAATTATTATTCGTATCTTGAAGATCCAGCATACCATTATTTGTCTCCTTCTTGCTTTCCTTTGGACAAACTCCAGACAAAATTGTCGCTTTTGCTCAATATTTTACTCGTTAAAAAAAACGCAACCAGATAACTCAGACATCTGCTTTAAAGACACTTTACTTTTATATTAAATTTTTGGCATGAACAAATTTTTTTTCTATAAAGTAGGTTTGAACATTGCTTGCACGACAAAGTCTGAAGGAGAAATTACGCTTGTGATCTCTAGAATTCCAATTAGTAATAATAATACCTACATCTATTTTGACTTTTCATAGATAGTTTGGCACTGATCTGACAAATTTTGCATAGGAGTGATGAAAACAGAATATTTTGTAGACGAATCCTAAGATTTCACCTTAATTTCAAACTTAGGTCACATGTGTAACCTCCACATGGGTTAGTTAGGATCATTAAATTTTTCCACCAAAGCAATTACATGTGAGCACATTCTCCAAGGCCATGATTGACTGAGAGAACATTTGCTCCTAATAATAATATTGGCATGATAGACTGACCCAAAGAAGAATATAGGCTTGATAGAAATGGAATCTCTTAATCATAAGCTAGGTCATTAGTCTTACTTGCTTAATTCACAATTAATTCCACACTTTGCTACTTTGGCCATGTGCCATTGACATAGGTTCGATATTATTTCTGGAAAATTGTTTTCCGACTTTCCGATGTTTGGAATATAGAAAAATAATTCATTTACGAAAAGCGTTTTCCGTGAACTAAAAACAACAAACTTAAATTGAGGAAAAAAGAATTTCCCTTTCAGGAAGAAGCAAATCGCTTTTCCTAAATCATCTAACAAATGAAAAATAATTATTTTTCTTAAAAGTCATTTTTATGAAAGATATTTTCCTTTATCATTTAATGAACAAACAAGACATTGTCTTTTTCCAAGCATGTAGTTGTGCTACAAGCAAGAAGCCAAAGGACAAAAACAAGATGGTTGGATGGACGCCACAAATGACCCGCGATTTTGGGATTGCATTCAGCACAAGTTTCCTTCTTTCCAACTGAAAACGTGGCTTACAATTGCCAATTTTTATGCACCATTTACACCATATTACAGCTCTCTTACTTTTCAGTTAATGGTCACTTTTCTCTCCCTACCTTCCCCTGTTGAAACGCTGACGCCTTTTAAACTCTGCGGTCAATTAAAGATCGCTTCAGAGTGTGGAAAAAGGAAGAAACGATTCTTGCTTTTGCGGCCTCATGTTCAGGTTCAACAACTGTTGGAAGAACCTGGCATATTCTCGCTAGTGGTTTCTTTTCTCTTTCTCATTTCAAACTCCACCATTGACTTTTGCTTTCACTTCACAAGGGCAGTTTCTCTGTGCTTGGTGGGTGATCATAACAGTACCCTTTATTTTGCTCTCTTAGATAAGCTCAGAAAGCAATAGGATTGGATTCTCTCTCTCTCTCTCTCTCTCTCTCTCTCTCTCTGCTTTAGTAAAAAATCATATGCTTTTTTGGGGTTCAAAAAGGGTGGTTCTTGTTTTCTGGTGCAACACACACACAAGCCCAGCATTGGCGGTTCCTTTCTTGGATCCGTTTCTTCAGGTATAATTCAAAAGTCTTCATCCTTCTTCTTTTTTGAAGGATCGATTAGATTTTAACTTGGCTTTGGGAGTATCCAACTTTTTGTGGGTTTTTGTGTATGACTTGTATTTTTCTATGTCCTTTTCTGTGGATGGACGTGGGCCGGGGGGACCAAAGGCAAAGGGTGTGTATTGCTTTAAGCAATATTGAAAGTTAAATGCTTTTTTTGTGGAAGTGTGGAGCTCATGTAGTTGTTTCATTTCAAAGGAAATCTTCTTGCAGTGTTCCAAATTGTTCTTCTTTTTGTGGGATTAATCTCCTGTTGTTGTAGAGAAGCTGAGCTGGCTCTTGGGTAAAATTCAATCATTTGCTACTGAATTCTTTCGACAGATCATTCAAGGTTCTTGCTTCTGTTATTTTCCAAAATCAGGGTAAATAGTTACTTTCTGCCTGTTTAAGTGTCTTTTCCCCTTAGATATCAGTGAAGTGGAAGGTTATTATTTTTCTGCATCTAGTTTCGCAATTCAAGCTTTGTCTGAGCTTGACACTGTCATCTTTCTTTTGTTGATTTTTTTGATTGTATTTACGTATATACTTGCAACCATGATCTGCCAATCAATTCCTGTTTATCCGGGTTCTCTTTGAAGAAGCCAAGCTAACATATAAGAGACATATCTTTTTTTGTTTAAGTTTTAAAACATTTCAAATTATCTGATTTGGATATTTCTGGACCAGCGATTTCAGATGTTAGCTGAGAATATGGTTGTTCAGCGATGCGACGCCTCATTGTCCCAAGCAGTTCGATGCACACATTAGTGTTTGCTTTTGTAGCTGGAGGTTGAACATGGTGAACTCATTTGTAATTACTGAGAAAGATGTGCGAGAGGAAGATTCACGGAGCGGGGTGAGAAAGAAGGTGTGTTCGTCACACAGTGATTGTTCTGACTTCTCCAAAACCGCAGCAAAGCGGATGGATGATAACCTTGTACTAAATATCAGCCAATCACAAAGCCGTGAAAGATGTGCGAAGGACGCAACTGCCCAAAGACTTCTCGGCTTAGGTACTAAAATCCCAAAGCATCTGGTTGCTCTCGATGAGAACTATCTCCGGCACTGCCTGGAATTGGTTCACAGAAGTGCGTCAAAGGATGCGACATGCAACATACTGGTGAATTTGACCTCCTCGCCTAATTTCCAGTGTTCGTTACCAGCAATTGGAACTGGGAATGTCGTCCGGAGGCATGCTGGGCTGTGGATTATAGATTCGATACTGGGAAGCAAGACCATCATAGAAAAAGACATAGATCAGAGTCCTCAGTTTTGCCATTTTGGTGCACTCACGACTGATGCCAAATACATAAGATCAAACCCACATGATGCTAAGGACTCAGCAAGTTGCGATTTGACAGACTCTCCGAATCAGCAGAGTGTCAGCTCGCCGATAGAGATGGAAAATGAAGTGCCATTTCAGGAAATACCAAGCTCTGGTTGTGACTACAAAAACAGAAGACTTATTTCGATTGCAAGCATGAGTTCAAGGAGCTCCGATAGATCTTCTTCTTCTCCTGGTGCTGCTTTTTCTCAGGGTATGCTCCACTGCACATGGAAGGTTGGTATGCCGCATTTCGTTCTGTCCATAGATGACCAGACAGAGATACTCATAGCTGATCCCATGAAGGTCGGAGCATCGAGTCTTGTGGGTTCAGACTGGGTGTACTTGTTCTATTCAAAAAGGCAGGCTTCAACAGAACACGTGAGCCATGATAACGAGCCACATCCTATAGGAAAGATGGAGGTGGCCACGTCAACGTCTCTTTGCCAGGAGAATCTCAAAATCTTGCAGACCGAGTTTGTTCTGTTTGGTGGCTGGGAAACTTTTCCGGAAGAGGGGCAAGCTATGGGTGTCAACCGCAGGAAGAATAAGAAGTTGGCAAAGAAAGTGGCTAATGTGTTCTGGCCCGGTCATTCGTCTAAGCAGAGAAGTGTGTCTGGAAAAAGTGGGACTTTGGATGATTATTCTCTGGAATCGGGCCAAACTATGCACAGAAACCTGGATATGCCAGGCGGACTTAGCATTCCGGAGCATCTTCTTCCGCCCAATCTTGAATTAGCTGCCATTGTAGTGAAGAACCGTGTCAGGGACATTCAGAAGGAAGAAACCGGAGGCTGGGGCTTGAAGTTCCTCAAAAAGAATGGGGTAACTAGGAAAATCAACCATCCAGATGCATGCACTTCAGTGTGTGGTGATAGAGATTCTGGCGATTGTGTCATCAGTGTGGAAGTTGCAGTCCCTGCAGGACTTCACGGTGGACCAAGAACGCACCATGGTGGCCCCTCTAGGCTCATTGAAAGATGGAAATCTGGTGGACAGTGTGACTGCGGTGGATGGGACCTGGGCTGTCCGCTCACACTACTCGAAGCAAGATCAAGCGACGGACGTATTCTAAATACCGATTGCGATGAGCGGGACTGCATGTCATTCGATCTCTATATGCAGGTTCTTTTCTTTGCACTCATTGCTTCATTTCATTTGATATATGAGATTTTATCAGCATTCCTGGTTTGCATCATTAAGCCGTGTGGACATGAGTAGCTTGCTTTTGCAGAAGCAGGTTACTATTGCAAGTCGAAATGTTCTATAAGATTTACAGCAATCAAATATTCATCTTATTTTGAGACTCTTGGCGTCCAACATGATAAAGAGTAAATGCATCGAACAACATAAATTGCAAGTCTTGTTTAGTATTCGGGTAAAACACCTATATTTTTTGGGGTGTAACAGTCAGAAATTCTCAAGGAGGCAGGAGACCTTGCTTTACGCAGGACATTTATCCTGTAAAGCTAAAGAAAGGCAACAGTTTTCTTGATTTTCAAGGAAAATGAGATGAAAAGTGAAATTTCATGAAGGAATTTCCATGCTTTATCAATTTTCATTTGAATTAGAACAAAATGTATGGAGAAAGATGCAAAGTGATTTGACATCTATATAATGAAAATGATGGAAAGCTTCTCCAGCATCAAACACACTGTTTGTTTCCGAGTTCCTACACTTTGTCTAGACAAATCGATCTGAAATGGTCTTCTTAGACGAGATATTGATAGGTTTAACACTTAACTGCTTAAAGACAAGGGATTTTGATTATATAGTATTAGACAGTGTCGCTGATACTCAATATCTTTTAAGGGGTTGCCGCTTTATTTTGAGACTCTTATGTTAGATTTTCATTTCTCCGAGTCTCAGCAATTATGGTGAACTCACTTAAAAATGCTATTTCAGGGTTCAGAGCATTGTCTTCCTACATTAAGGATGACGGACGTCCGCGATGGCCTTTATCTTATTCATTTCAACTCAGCATTATCACCTCTGCAGTCTTTCTCGATTGCTATTGCGCGTATATATTCTCAGAGTCGTGTTCTCCAATCGAAACTGTACAGGAGTTGAACAATAATGCAGTAATAGGATTTTGGTGCTTTTTTCCGAAGTATCGCGCTTTTTTTTTTCAATTTACTTTGGTTAGAAGGAAATTGGTAATGATTTATACAACATGTACGATCTCTTCAACGAGTCTCTGAGGTGGTCAGTGTCTTCGTTTTAGAATGCTTTCTTGTACGACAATACATGGCATGGATTGAGTCTAGATTTCCAGGATTTTTTAAAATGTAAAAATCTTGCAATTTGCTTCCTTTTAGATTGGAATGTTGTAATTATTAAATCATCAATGTCCACCTGATGCGATTAACTGGCATCTGCTGTTCTATGAGTAGTTTCACTTCGGATAAAGTTTCAGAAGCAGTCCATGTTATTGATTTGCTGCTTTTGAGATTCTTCTGTGAGTACTTATTTTGCTTTCAGGAGTTCTCTGATGATTTCAGACTGTCAGATGCTGAGATCCTAGTCAGGATGTTTTGAGTGTCGGGTTATTCGCCATGGTTCAATCTCGGTACAAAGTCGCGTCAACAAGGGATACTTGCGGAATTGTTGTGGCAGTTCTGCACAACAAAGAACCCGATTTAAAAAGAGGGAACACAAAGATCAATTAATGCACATCTTTATGCAAACGGTTTGAGCTTACACATATTTAGATTACCAGAGGCTTGTAGATTGATTCGGCTCAACAAGGCTTTTTAAGTTACAGCAACTGTCTAACAAATTAAATTATGCCGCACAGTTTCTAACATGATTCATGCTTCTCATATGACCTGTTGCAACACCCGGCTCCACTGCAGCTTCTGATCTTTGGTCGTAGCTTCCAGAGTTTGGCTCCCAAAATACTTATCGCGGTTCTTATTTCAATCTTCACACATGAAGGGCGCTTCTTCGTTGGTGAACAGCCAATCTTTTCCCCTAAACCCATCGGCTGATCCGCGTCACCTCGTGTAACGTTGTTCGAAAAGCGAAAAATCAGGAGGACTCAACTTTGATCTTTTTAACTTGTGATATCTGCTGTTTTACTTTGTCTAAGAGGAACATGAATTTGCCTCAGGCAGAATTCATGAAGCCAAGTTTTCAGACACTCCTCCTAGAATTTGTCAACCTTTTAACAGTACTATGAATTTGTGGTTTTTCTCTTGAAATCTGATATGTTTGATTGGGAGGAATGCTTGTTCCCTATTCATCGTGTGTTTGGCTTGTGCCATTGCAATAGAATGAGGAGGAATGCTGGTTCCTTATTCGAAATGGAGGAGCCACACCACTCCTTCCCAATTTTAACTAAAAAAACTAATCAATAAAAGTATATAACTAATAAAATTAAAGACAATTAACCATTAATTAGTATGATTAAAATATAAATTATAAAACATAATTGGTTACTTCTTTTAAATATTATACTGTATGATATAAATAGGTTTTAATGAAACAATTATTTTTCATATCTCATTTTCTTATTAACTATGAATTATGGTTAACAAAGTATAAGTAATGAATAATATGGTTACTATTAAACTAATTGATAATTTTCCCTACATCTACATTGTCAGTGGCACAGACAAGGAACAAGCTAAAAAGAAAAAAATGGAAAATACATCACGGCAGTTTATTCATTAGATTGCGAATGGAATGACCTAATTTAAAGCGAAGTCAAAGTTTAAGGACCCGATTGAAAAAAAAATTGAAAATTATGAGCTCTAAATAATAAAAGTAAAGACGGAATCGGGTGACTAAGGATACAATCCCTGTCAATATTCTTTATACGTTTCTTCTCCTTAGATCATGCGGGTTTTCGAGTCGGGGCAAAAACAAATTAGCATAAGCCGAGTGACAAAAAAAAAAAAAAGGGAAGAGCGGGTTTGAAGACTCCGTGCGCCCAATTCACATGCATCTAAACTTCTAATACTTGCTCCTAGGTGAGCTTGTTTTGGAAGCATTAAGGACTTTAGTAGAGCGGTCGATCGGCAAGCTTTGATAGCCAAAAAAAAAAAAAAGAGTGGAAATGTAAAATAATTAGAAAAAAAAATTATTTGCAATAAGCAACGCATCAAAGCTTTCTGGACAGATATAATTCAAATATTTATATATATACCATATCTATAGTCAAAATAAATACTAAAGTACAAGAGCATGACACATAATAACTCCCGAAGGACCATGGGAGTTGATGGGCTTTTGGGCCGAGACAAATCGGCCCAATCTGTGGTTAGAAACGGAATATTGGGCCCGATTACAGCGAAGCCCAAAACCATCGACGATGGGCTTTGGAAAGCCCACGAAAAACCCTAGCTCAGTCTCCTCCTCTGCCTTCTTCGGTCTTCCCCGACTTCTCGCCGCTATATATTGGAAGGCCGTGCGGCCTCCCCAAAACCCTAGTCTCATCTCTGCTGGTGGTGGTGGTGGTTGGTTCTCCTGCCGACGAAAATGTCGAAGCGAGGTCATCCCACTCTCCCTCTCTCTTTCTTCTTCGTGCCGTTTCGCTTTCCTCGAAAGACGCAGCGGTTGCTGTGTGTTCGCAGTGTTTTTGGTTTCGTTTGCCTCTTTGCTAGTTAGCTGTGTGTCGCTGGAGATCTTGCTTTTGGACCCGCTATTGGAATTAACTTCAAAAAAAAAAAAAAATGATGCATTGTTCGTGGTAGCTCATGGTTTTATGGGGTGGTTTGGGGCTTTGTGTTGATCAGGCGTTGTGGTTGTTTTTTTGGCTGACTATGAGTGTAGCATGAGAGGAATTTGGATGGTTTTTTGGGGGTCTAACTTTGTTTGCCATTTGGTGTGATGCGTGGGAAATTTGGTTTGAGTAGTCGGGATGGTGGATCGGGCAATTTGGGTATTCGTGTTTTTTTGATGATGTCTCTTGGCTTTTTTAGGACGTGGAGGTTCTGCGGGTAACAAGTTCAGGATGTCGCTGGGTCTGCCGGTGGCGGCCACGGTGAATTGCGCGGACAACACCGGGGCCAAGAATCTTTACATCATCTCGGTGAAGGGAATCAAGGGTCGCTTGAACAGGTTGCCCTCCGCTTGCGTCGGGGACATGGTGATGGCCACCGTCAAGAAGGGGAAGCCCGATCTCAGGAAGAAGGTTATGCCCGCGGTCATTGTCAGGCAACGCAAGCCGTGGCGCAGAAAGGACGGCGTCTACATGTACTTCGAAGGTTGTTATTGCTTTTGTCTTTTGGTTAATTGGATTGTATGCTTTGGTTGTCCGCTTGCATCTTGCTTGGGTTGTTGTGGTTGCATTCAGTGGTAGCAACATGCATCTGAACTTTTAGCAAGTTCCCCTTCATGTTTCTGTGGTCATACTTAATTAGGTGACAATTTTTCTATGACTGTTCGAGTACTTTTAGGTTTTATCTCTCCAATGGTCATACGTGTTAACAAGAAAATTTCTGTTTTCATCATGAAATCGCTTTCTGTTTTACAATTGCTGGTGATGTGGTGCTGAGGATTCGTTTAGGTTCCTCTTCACCTCCCATAACCAGCTAGAGTAAATATTACCAGCCTTACCCCTATACCAGATGTTAAAATTGTTTTATCATCCCTGTCAAGGTTGGGATACTGTCTTAGTCTCTGAGATTGGCCTGTGTTTTGTTCAGCTCTCCCATGTCAAAGATGACACAGTCCGCATACATTGTTATACATGGAAGTCCATGATGATTATCGTTAAATGACTTTCCTTAATGGTATAAGGTGGCAGCTCTATTGTCTTAGTGAGCAAAACATTACGTATAATTTACCAGACATAAGTCAGGTATCCACCATACATCTGTGGTTGATACAGTTACGAGTCTGGAAAAGTAAGAGTGTCCTTCGTTACAGATGTCGCGTCTCTCCTATTGTAACATCTGCTCCATTTGGGCTCGACAAACTCTACCGATGACCTCTTTGCGCTTGTTTTTATTTTCGTTTGGTGGACCACTCTATTAAGTGATTGCACATCATATTTATTGTTATGTTGCATCAGTAGATGTACCATATTGATAGATTTCTTGCATATTGGCATTATATTTTGTTTTCTGACTCTGTAATTGACTATATTTGCAGATAATGCCGGTGTCATTGTGAATCCGAAAGGAGAAATGAAAGGTATAGTTCTCTTCACGACACGCAAATGTTACATAAGTTCAAACGCTTTGATTCAATAACTGAAATGAAGAGTTGTAGAGCGGTATTTACAAATCAATAGAATAGGACTAGGCTTTCGGATACAAATAGTGTGGTTTTAGGTCGGAAGGCAAGACTAGTTTGATTGATGAAAGGTTTTGGCCCAACTTTGAAATCAGAGTTGCAGTTGTGAATGGTGTTTCTCGATGATCCTTGTATCTCATCCTCTTCTAATAATTTTCAGGTTCTGCCATCACCGGTCCAATTGGGAAAGAGTGTGCAGACCTGTGGCCGAGAATTGCCAGCGCAGCCAATGCGATCGTCTGAACGTTGCAGTTTATCTTTTGTTCATGTTATTTGTTTTCATATCGTGGTTTGATGTTACCGGTGGAAGTAAACCTCAGATTGCTTAGTTCGCAGATAAATTTTTACATGTTGGAGGCTCACCTATCCCCTTTTTTTTTGTTTTGAAGTGTTGTCATGGTTTAGAAGATTTAAAGTATATGCTTTCTAGACGTGGGTTCTTTTCTCGAGTCTTTCCGCCTGTGGCCCTCTTTATTTTCCTCATGGCTTTAGATTGATTGGTTTCGGGTCAAGTACAAGAGGGCATGTTATGATCGTGATTTTCGGAAAATTAATTCACGGAAAGCTCTTTTCATTGAAACAAATACAGTTGTAACTTGAATACAATCTTCACTCTGAAACAAAACCTCCCTGGATGCTGGAAGTGGACCAGTTTTTTGATACAGGATGTATCATTTTGTCTCTCGATGATGTGGTAGTTGTTCCATCTTCCTGCATTTGTCATGCTTGAAGAGACATGTATTTGATCATGCCGTTGAATCGGCTTGTTAACAATGTTGTTTGTCAATGTTTCAATGTGAAGCTACGCTGCTCTTGACTTTCAATGCTTGCGGAGCACTTGCCTGTTGTGCTAGATAGTTAAGATGCAATGAGACATGGATGTATCCCTAACGAGAGTTTTTCGGCGTCCGCCAATGCAATTCCTGTTTGTATTGATCTATTATCTGGTTGATTGGCCAAGTTTTCAAACGTACCTTTGTAGATAATAATGAAATGGGCAAAAAAAACAACTCTGAAATTGTCTATTTGGCGACTGACATCACTTCCTAGGATCCTCGCTTCCTCGAGAACCGTTTTTCCTAACAAAATTTTCAAATAGGAATTTGAAATGGAGTCGTTTTTTTCGAAATGGTCTTTGATCATGAAACGTGTCTCAAATAAAGTCGAACAAGTACCAACTACAGAGCCTTATTCGCTATGCTTTCTGAAAACTCTTTTGTAAAAGACAAATGTACTTTAGTGGTGTGTTTATTTTACCGAATATTTCACGATAAGGAAAAATATTTTCCATGAATGGAAAATAGTTAATTTTTATTTGTTTGGTGATTTAAAGAAAGTGATTTCTTTTTTGTTAGAAAGGAAAGTTGTTTTCTCTTATTTTAAGCTTGTTGATTCAGTCCCTGAAAAATGTTTTTTTGTACATCAATAGTTTTCCATCATCTAATCACCGAAAATGGGAAAGTAATTTATTTGAAATTTTCTTTTTTTTATTTTCTAGGTTGTCAATTTATTTATTTTTTTGGTAGAATCTAGGTTGTCAATTGAATGGAGGAAATTACGCATGTAATCACGGTTGCGCGTGAAAAGCGGCTGCCATTTCGTCAAAAGCCAATTTTGTCTTTTTGACATGTTGCAATGACAAGTATGTACTACTAAAAAGCTAAAAACAATAATTGACCAGCTCATGTGCTGATACTTTCCCCCCCAAAAAAAAAAAGAAGAATCGAAATATAAAAAGATGGGAAATATTAGCAAACGCATGGCCCAGTAATGATTAATGGCTGTTTATTAAGGTGCAGACAAGCAATCTGTAGGTAACATTATGAGGAAAAAGATAAAAACCCTAATTAAAGAACCCCTCCAAACACCCTTTTTCCAAATTAACGATTTTAAGGCCATGAGCAATACCTACGATGCCGTTCAATTATTAAACAACCAAACATGGAATTGTACTAATTTTCTCATATTACAAATACTTTATTGATTGTCTTAGAAGCACTTATAAGTCGTAATGTATATATATAATTTATGTTGAGGCATTGTCATGTTCTCCTTTTTCATTACTACATCGGCGATTAAAAAAGTGAATTTCATTCGAAGCCATTGATTACGTGATTTTGTCTAAGTCCCCAGTGTATACTCTGGATACTATAGTTGCAAATAGGGAAAATGGCATTAATGGTCTCAATGTACAATGTGACTTCTAAACTTTTAATTTGTTAAATGCGTCCTTAAACTTTAGTCTAATATGGTCCTTAAACTTTTAATTTGTTCAATATGGTCCATAAACTTTTGGTATATCTTCAATTTAGTCCCTAAATTATATAAAAATATTCAATGTTGTCTCTAAACTTGAACTAATGGAAGGATAACATTAGACATTTTCATATAGTCTTGGAATTACAGTGAACATTTACCGAAAGTTTAGGGACCACATTACATGTTGGGTTAAAGTTCATGGACCGCATTAAATAAATTGAAAATTCAGTGAACGAATTGCACAGTTCATAAAATCATTTGTGTAATTTTACCGCTGGAAATACATCCTTTGCCATTCTCTACTTCCTCTTTCCTCTGTCTAACGCATCGTGAAAGCTCGAGAAATAATTAGTGGGCCAATCAATTCCCCTGTTGCGGTACTCAAGAAATGCTCAATCTAAGCACCATGTCATTCTTGGAACAAAAGCCATCCTGTCCCCATGTGACATGCGCTCCGGTCGGGGCCCAACATGTTCATCATCACTCCAATCTTAAGTATCAGCGCCTGATCTACGCACCTCCTCACTCTCTCACATCCTGAACCGAACATGGCCGCCAGAGCCCTCTTCTCTTTGTCCCTTTCACTGGGCATCCTCATCTCCCTCTGCTCGGCAGATTGGAACATCTTGAACAGTCAGAGAACAAGAAATGGGATCAAGATCAGCTTGAAGAACTACTGCGAGGGCTGGAGGATGAACGTGGAGCTCCACAACATCCGGGAGTTCGAGGTGGTGCCCGAGGAATGCGTCGACTACGTCGGCAAGTACATGAAGTCGACCCAGTACGAGGTCGACTCGGAGCGGGCGATCGAGGAGTGCATGGTGTATCTCAGCACCAGCTGCAGCTTGAAGAGGGATGGCAGAGATGCATGGATCTTTGACATTGATGACACTTTGCTGTCTACCGTGCCTTACTATAAGAAACATCAGTATGGGTATCGATTATTCTTTCCATATCTTTTGTATCAAGAAAATCACGGGTCAGGCTAAATCAATGTGATAAAGTTTGGTTCACTCATGCCATTTTGTTTCAAATTGCTGATGAACAGGGGAGAGAAGTTGAATGTGACTTCTTTAGAAGAGTGGATGAGCAAGGCAAAGGCACCAGCTTTGGAGCACTCGCTCAGTCTTTTCAATGAGATCAAGGCCAAGGGCATTCAGATCATCTTGGTCTCTTCGAGGAGGGAACACCTTAGATCTGCCACCATTGACAACCTTGTCAATGTGGGTTTCCATGGCTGGAGTAGCCTTGTCCTGAGGTCTCTTTCTCTCTCTCCCAAATTCTTCACGGGGTATCATCCCGTCATATATGTTCAAAAGTTGACAGCAGGTGTTGCACCTAGTGGCGACCGAGTTGGTCGGCATAAGGCCTAGTCACATTGTAGAGACTAAAGCCTTCGGTTTATGTGAATCTAACTATTGTTTTGTTTGGTGAAGGGGACCTGAGGATGAGCTGAAAGGAGTGCAAAGCTACAAGGCTGAGGTGAGGGAGAAATTAGTCAGTGGAGGGTATCGCATATGGGGCATTCTTGGAGACCAATACAGCAGCATCCAGGGACTTCCGAGTGCCAAGATGACGTTCAAGCTTCCAAATTCTCTCTACTACATTTCCTGAAAACATCATCTCTTGCAAACATGTAATGAACAAAAACCCATTTTCCATGTTCCACCAGGCACTCGTCTTGCTTTGTTGTTTCTTTCTCCCATTGTCAATGAAACTCCCCCTTACCAAAAACTACAACCTTTCATCTTTGGATTGGGATCTATCTTGATGATCTACATCACCAAGCAAAGCAGTGGTGGTCCTCAAGCAGAAAATTAGTTGCTCACAAACTAGGGCAGTCTTTCATTATTTAAGCAAACAAAAGTATGTTCAACTCATATTTAACAAGGGGGCACTCCAGACTATGAATGTGAAACTAACGAGGTTTTTTTGTCTGTACACTGGTCATTTTCACTACTCATTACACAAGAAGCGACAGACTACACACTGCTTCTAGTTTAGCCCTTTCCTTCAGCTCCCATTTGCATCTTGGCACAATAGTCGAATAAACTCCCATCGAAGCAGCGTCTCACGGCTTCTTTCGACAGCATGCCGTCCTCGTCCCTCGCCAGGATGTTCAGAACTCCCCATTCAAGCTTGCTCACAACCCTGCGTCCCCCACCCAGCCGGTCACCAGAGGAATTTTGAGATCTCAAATAAGAACAGTGGCATAGTAACATGAGAACAATGTAGGAAACTTATGCATCCCAGCACCGATGTTTAGAAGACATGAATATGGCATCTATCGTGTATGTAGGATTAGCTTCGAGGACTAAACATATAAATGACCAAAATCTCAGACCTGTGTTAACAATAAATGACCAAAATATCAGACTTGTGTTAACAAATAAATGTCCAAAATCTCAAGACTTTTGTTAACTCATAATCTAAGTAATGTAGTTCGGGTATAGTTATTCCTGGAATTTTGCCAGTTTTACCATCGGCAACAAAAGTCTTATCTTGATGATCGCATTAAAGCAGAGACCCAAAAAAGTAGATGCTTTTCCCTGCCTCCATAGTATGCTGCATCTCATTTACATGAGACAGAGTATCATAGCCTCAATTAAGTATAAGAGTAAAAAGAAAAAACTGAGAGAAATAAAAAAGCTAACCAGCCAAAGACATCGAATGCATGTCGATTCCCTTCAGTCATGTCCCAAAGTTCTCCAAGGGTAATCTTGTCAGGAACAGTACGAGCATATTTGCTGAACATGTTCTCGAGATGTGCTGGTATATACCTGATATTCCACTTCATGGTATCAATATGTATATGAGAGAGCAAAGACCATATATATACAGGTTTCAGCCTCATGAATGATAAGTACCTTCCTTCTGTGTCATATGTTCCAGTGTCACTTCCGTGCTTGTCTTTGTGAATGTTGTCTATGTAAATGGGGAAGAAGGGAGAAGGAAACCAACCCTTCACATGTAAAATGTAAAGTAGTTACCAATCATAATGCATAAAATGTGCCATTCATGTTAATGTGCTATGCCATGCCAATTCCAAATACTTATCGAGGAGTTGGAAAACAGTGCATGTACCAGTTCAAAACTTTTATGAGATTGATTCTATCAAATTGGAACCTCCCAAGGCAACAGTCAAACCTCTATGCTTGGTGACCTTTGCTTGCCCACGATGATCATCTTCGTTCCTAGTCTTACCCTTCTCTCTTATCACACTACCTGATGGCCTTTTAACATATTTTGTCCAAATTATCATCGTGCAGAATGCCAAATGGACCAAGCTGCCTTTAGACTCATTTTAGCCACTGAAAAATATTCATGGTGAACTACTGACTGTATCTGCCGGTCAGCAGGATTTCGTAATAAAGGATTTATGCCCGACTCAAATACCAGCTCCAGAAGTAAATTAGCATGCTGCAGGAACAGTGTCAAAATAACTTACAGGTTGGGTTGGATAACTTAGTGCCAAGTTAATTCCAATTGTCATGATCAGAGAGGCTATTGTGTTGAAACCTATTGCACGTAACCCTGTGAAGGTGTGAAAGAACTTAAGGGCTGAAGGCGAGAAAGCACACAGAGTAATAAGACAAGCCATCATGTTAAACACGTTAGCAATAGATGTCAACACAAGATTAAATAAGGATTTATGAAGAGAACAAGCAAATTTCACATATACCTCTTTCTCAATCTTGTTAAGTCTATTTTCATTCCTGATCTAACAGTTTACAGTTCAAATTTTGCCAGTGCATCATTCCTTAATGTCCATCACAAGTTCGGCAAAACAGGTCTCAAATTTTAATGTCATTGCCTTAGAGGCAGTCTAAAACTCCATTCACTTTTACAACTGTAAAAAACAACACTAGATCATACAGGGACTAGTCATGTCCTTTTAGTGACAGCTTGTTCTAGAAGTCCCAAAAGAGAACATATCACCATAAGAAGCAGCAACCAAGATAAATCGCTTGTTTCCTAGCAATGTGTGAATTTACCAATGTAAGTCTCCCAAGGGTAGATAATCCCATCACCATCCTGGTCGAAGAAGGCACAGTGCTGCTGAAGAACACTGAGATTATTACTCCTATGCCCTGGTGTTCCATAAGGATGATCAGTATCAGGAGCTTTCAATGCCCTGGGCAGATCTGTCATAGGACAAGACAACTCACCAAATAAGATTGATGGAGGAAAATGGTTCACGACAAACGTTAAAGTATTTAAATATTAAATCACGCATTCATCTTAACAACTCAATCATTTAGAATATTTGATAATGATCCCACAACATTTTCACATGATACCAGCGCATGAGGTCTTGAAAGGACATCTACTTGCCTCTCCAATTATATATATTCCATATGTCCAGCCCTACGCGTGAGAGGTGTGATCAAGTATTTATATATTTTAGAATAATTGATAGTAGTACCGCAACATTACCAGCTCTAGAAATAATCACATAGATAACCTCAATGATCCTGATCTCAGCAAATATATTTTCCCAGGAAACTCTGATTGCTTCCATGAGAAGGAAAGACAAATGTCCCTATAAGTAGCACATGACTTTTCAATATATTATGGCAATTCTGGTGCCGTTAGAGCCATGAAATTTTAAAGTCAAGACCAGGAAAAGGCTTGAAATCATATGTTTGAGTAACTTTGCTTTCCTATTAATATCACTGAAATAAAAATGTTCGCAAGATATGCCTGAGGAAACCAATTTTGACGAAACCAATTTTTGACGACATTGTTAACAGACTCTGAATCATCTTCTTATGAAAGATCTCTCCTCTGGGCACCAGAAACAATAAGCTTTTCTATGTAATGTCCAAATAGTCCATCACCCTTAAGCTCGATGAGCGAGCATGGCTTCCCCATTACCTTAAATATCATGCTTCAGCATCCACTTGCCCTGAGACGACAATTAGCACATGTCCCAGTACAACACAGATATGTCCATGCCATAGCCAGAGAAAAGTAATGCCATGCATACACCATCTCAAATGCATTACATGGCATTAGAGTCATGCAGGTAAACATCTTCGATCCATCAATTACTTAACGTGGATCTTCATTCATGATGTTCGAATCACTTTCTCTTCTAGAAACTATATCATACTCCAACACGTAGTCTCGCCTTTTGCATTTGGATCGCATGCGAAATGGTCATGACACCATTGTCTTTGACAACTAGATGGTAGCAGATTTCCATGCACACAAGACTATTTGGGTGAGTAAATCCCACCTGTAGCAGTCCCTAGAGTTTGGTGCATTTTTTGAGTCCTTAAGTTTTTTAACCAAAACAATTTAGCACCTACAGGTTGGATTTTGAAATCATTTGCTCATTGGGATTGGGTTTCGCAAAATGTTTAGATGGTGTCAGGTCAATGACCAGGCCTGAGTCAAAATCATGTAATTAGGTTACAAGTATATGTTTTTCCTCATGCATAGCTTGACAGCAAGCAAACTGACCCGTCCATATGGATTGGAGTAAGGCTTGATCCAAGAAAACGGATGATAATCATTTGAGATCATACAAAAAAGGACTTGATGTAGAGTGATCGGAGTCATAATATACAAGGTCATTATTCAAACTATTTAAGTTTATCATAATGGTGCAGAATCGAACTATTGAAGTCATCATCTATCCTACTTCTTTCCGTAACTGCATGTCAACGACACTTGCAAGTCTCATGTCTGAAGTTATCATCTCTCTCTATCGATTAGCATGCACTTCAAACCCACCAAGAATTACGACGAACGTCCCCCTCCGAGATGCATTATAACTCGTGATGGACAAGACAAACATGCAGTCGCATCCCGTCACGCAAATGAGTAATCACGAGAAAAAAGAAATGAACAAGCTCACAGGGCTTCGGAAGCGTCCTCTCCAAGTCAGCACGGACCCTCCTCTCGTAGGTCACCGGCGCGTAAGGCGCCTCCGTGGCCAGCGCCTCGTTCTCCGACGGGATCACCGCGGTCGTCGCAGCCATCTCTCTCCTGTCTCTCTCTCTATCTCTCTGGTGATGAAAACCGAGCAAGCGGAACTGCCCCACCACCCACGAAGGACTTATCAAGCGACATGGGGAGAGAGAGAGAGGGGCGCCCCGAGTTGAGCCGAATGTGGCGTGGCGGGCATGCAAGGAAGGTGACCGTGGCGGTGCTGCGTCCATGTGTTGAGACTTGCATGCATCGCGTGGAGCTTTTAATGGCGGTCCTCTTTAAAAATTGGTTGGACTCTCTCTCTCTCTCTCTCTCTTCTGTGTCGGACTCTCGGACACGATCGTTTTGTTTCGCCACGTCCGCAGCTTTCGTGTTTTCCTCCGGTCATCCGGGCGGAGAACATGAACGTACCAAATTGAACGGGATCGTCTTACGATGGAATCTAAGTAGACCTCTATCGCCGGAAATGATCGGAATTCAATTTAGTCTCCGTACTATATTCACTTAATATTCGGGTGCATTGTACCCGCGACTTTCCATCTCAAGTGATTCAGAAGTGCATGGGGGAGGTTGTGTGGAACGCTGCATCCTTGGCTCGCCCTAGATCGATTCATATGAGAGAGAACACTTTGTGATCCTCGCGTACTAGAGACGAGCATTGGTACCGGAGTAAACCGGGAACCAAACTGAACCGATCGATTTTGCACGGTTCACAGTTCCTAAATTTTGGAATCAGTGATTGTCAATCTGTTTCCCGGTCCCAGTTATGGAACCAAACTTCCTAGACCAAACTGTTTTTTTTTTTTAGGGATATATTCGCTAGACGTCCTAAAACTTATAATGAAAATGTAATTGAGTCCCAAAACTTGCAAAAAGTACAATCAAGTCTTAAAATTTATCAAATTGGTTCAATCGAGTCCTAAAGTTAACACCGTCTAATTTACCAATGAAAAACGCTGACGTGGCATTGACGTAACTTATTTTAATATTTTATCTCTTTTACTTGACAATGACGTGGCTAAATTATGAAACATGAGACTAAAACGACGTCTTCTTGGTGGGAGACGGCCGGTTGGGGTCACGGGCCCCACCCATCCCTCAGATCGAGCGAGGGTCGCCGGCCCTTGCCCAGACCTGATCGAGGGTCGCCACCGGGTCAATTGCAAGTGGCATGCATTTTTTTTTGTTGAAATCCAATCACAAATTACCACATATAAATGACATGGACATAAGTAAAGAAAAAAAGTAAAACTCTCAATATGTCTCTATATAGGTCTAAATCTAGGCGCTGCTCCAAATCTATTCGACAACTCTTTTTATGATTAGATGGCACCAACGAGGGACACGAGACTTGTCCATGACGATAGTTAGTGTCGTTCGGCCAGATCTGGAAATCTGGGTGCTCGGAAAATCTGAAAATCCGAGGTCCATGGTTGTCGAAGGACAAATATGTAAATATTGAAATCTGAGGATCCATGGTCGTGGGCGAGAATCGTCGGAGCTCCAGAAATCTGGAAATCCGAGGTCCGTGGCCACCGGTGAATTGGATTTTAACAAAAAAAATTCATGCCACGTCAGCTTATGAGGTGAAACATTGTAATCACCGAATACTTTCTCCTTAATAAGAGAGCGTTTACCGTAGGCGTTGCTTCAAGCTTTTGAGATTTCTTCTATAACTTTTACTGCCAGGAATTAGGCTTTTTTTTTAATTTTATTTTGAGCATCTTAAATCTGTAAATATTTAAATTGTTAAAGTTGTATACCGGGACATTATTTATACAAGTATATGTATTATCTTATTTTTAAGTTAATTTTTGCTGTTACGGAACTCAAAAGGGAATTCTTTTCCTACCAAAAATCCAAACTCATTGAATCCATTTTTTGGACAAAAAAAGGGAAAATACCACCGAAAACCCCAAATTATATCAATTGTGATAAATTTACTCTGAACTTTTTTTTGTGATACGAAAAATCCCAAACTATACCACTTGTGACTAATTTACCCTGAACTTTTTTTTGTAACATGAAAAACTCTAAATTATGCCACTTGTGACACATTTATCCTTACAATACTTTGGCCATGGACATTTTCGTTTTTTTCTTTTATTTTTCTTTTCTTCTCTCTTCTCTCCGCCGGCCATGCCGGAGGAGATCTGGTTAGTCCCATTCTAGCCACTGAGATACACATTGTAACAAGTTTTGACTATATGCACCAAGCAATCGCCTCAGATCAAAATGCAAAGGCGACCGTATCGTCGCCAGCGCGACCCTGAGCACGCCGAGCTCGATGGCCTCCTCCCCGATGATCCCGCCCGACTTGCACACGCCCTGCAACAGCCTCAAAATCGAGCCCGGACCTCCTCCTCCTCCTACTCTGTCGCCCCCCGGCGCTCGCCTGATCGCCAGAGCCAGAGCCGGCGCCGACGCCGATCTCCGCGTGGACGAGGTTGTGCGAGAAGAGCTTGAAGGCGCACTCGAGCGTGGACGGGCTCCACGATCTTGCCGTAGGCGGAGTTGAGGGCGAGGATCAGGGGCTGGAGGACGAAATTGGCGTCGGCAAGGGAAGGAGAGGTTGAGCCAGTGGAGAGGGAGGATCGGCCGGGGCGGCGGTCTCGAGCCTGTCGAGGGCGGATTTGTAGGCGGAGACAGATGTGGGAGTGCTTCCTCCCACGCGGCGTTCCTGATGATCTTGTCGAGGGAGGGGCCGATCACGCGGCCGGAGCGGGACTGACCGCCGAGGGATTGGGAGGCAGAGGCCGACATTGGTGCAGCGGAGGGCGGTGGTGGCGGTCGGTGAGGCGGCGGCGCATTTGCAGATCTGGGGCAACGAAATGGCATGGCGGAACCAGTCGTCCTTCTCGTGTCCTCCACTGCAAAATACGATTTGGGTAACGCTTGCAATTTTACGAAATTTCATTTGTTATTTATGGCTCAACATGTAATGTTACCATGAATAAAAACAACTTACAAAATTAAATAGACATCTTTCACAAAAATTAAAATTTATTTCACGAACTCCGTTTATCATTCACGATATATAGCAGTACAATCGGAATTAATTAGGAACGAAAAGGAGTAAATTTAAGCGCTCTAAAGGTACTCTACAGACCCAAAAGGGTAACTCAAGAAATTTAATTTAAATTCGCGGTGAAATATAGTAAATTAATATGATCTATCTAAAAGAAAAAGGGCTGTTTACGATAATTTGATGTTAAATTCACTGAGTAATTGCTAACTATAGATACTGTCGATATTGGGAGAAGAATTCCGATAAGTCACAATGCATCAAGGTAAGTTACTGCCCAATTAAGAAGTAAACAACATCCGATCGAGGTAAGTTACGACCCCTGGGCCATGAGATACCTTACGAAAATTGCACATCATTCAAGTTGCGACTAATTCAAGCTAGATTACGCTACCATCATGGTAAAATGCCCGAATGGACTAGACAAAAGTACTATTCGCAGCAACAATTGACCAAAATATGCCTGTTTTGCTAGAATGATGCTCGTCAATTCATGTATATTCTATTCAAGGCCATATTCAATCAGAGTTAATGCAAAAAAAACCAATTTTTTTTTATTACGAAAGTCCATTGTACCAAGGGATGAATACTCATAAAATCATACAAAACGAATCAAATTGTAGCGTCTACAAATAACTGCAAAATCATGAACATTTAATACCTGCAAGATCGATACTACAAATAACTATATAAATCGCTAACCAAATTAATGTAAAAACAGCTCACAACCCATAGATTCACGAAGAGAATCATAATTTATTGTAAAGCGACCAATTCAATCATAAAACCTTTAAATTGTGTTAATTTAATCATAAACCTTTAAATTGTGACAATTTAGTTCTAGACCTTTTAGCAATTTGGCAAATTAGTCATTCCAGCTAATTTTTACTAAAAATCATTGACGTGAACGTCAGTTGGCCTACGTGGTATGACCGGTCGTGGGCCGGCTAACACTAACATTAATGATTTTTGAAAATTTTTAGAAAAATATATAAATTTTTCTAAAAATCATTGCAATGAGTCTAGGCCTTGCCAGCCATTGACAAAAAGAAAAGGGAAAAAAAAAGGAAAAAATCAGAATAACTCTAAAAATCATTTACATTAATGCCAGACGATCATGTCACATAAGTCGCCCAGCGTCCACATTCAAAATTGGCCAAATGACTACATTGGCAAATCGACAAAAAGTTTAAAACTAAATTGGCATAATTTAAAGACTCAAGATTGAATTGACCATTGTGCATAAGTTTATGACTTTTTAGACAATTATCCCATGATTCATACATTAGTGACAATTAGAAGTACGATAGGATGAACAAGGATATCATCATCGATGATACCTACCACCCTAGCAACAATCCACTCATCTATCTTCTTACTAGCTCTATCTTCATCGATGATATATGGGAATTATGTATATATATATCATCATCATCATCATTTTCAGAGTAAACCGATATGTCATAAATTATAAAGGAATTTGATTAGACGATATCTAGCTCTTTAACAAATATTGTTACTTTCGTTAACATTAGCGACCTGCCTCTACTATAGTTCTCCTACAAACAAACGGAGCCTTTCCGATATTTTTCACCAAAAACTAGCCATGTACCTCGCAGAAAAGAAAAGACAACAGACAATAAACAAAAGAGCGATTTCATTCGCTTTCCTACACTCATAAAAACTCCGGATCGCCGCCGCCGCCGTCGTCAAAATATAATGTCCTTCAGAGGGACGAGACAGCTGACTGGCGCACTGTTGCCCTTGTTGCGAATAACCAAAGAGCCATTCCTATCGCTCCCATAATACATTTTTGCGTCGATGTAATTGCCGTCGTTGCCGTTGCCGCGGTTGCCGCCGCTGCCGCTGCGACGGTGGAGATGGTAGAGATTGTAAGTGGCCTGATCCAGAGTCCCTTCTCTGTAGACGAAGACGCTCTCGTCCTCCTGTCCTGCATGCGTCGCCATTTCTTGTACAGATCAAGCCCCGTGCAGCGGCATGCCCCTGCCCAAAATCCGATTATATTAAATTAT